TCTTATAAATATTAAACAATATTACAGAATTTATAATAATCTGTTTAAAAACATTTAATATTTCTCGAACATTTCGTTACGGTACGGAAATTTCCAGCAATTTGCCTCAAAGCACGATGCCATGCACCCTACTAGTTTCATATGCATTTGACTCATCCATGTGCAATACTTAATAAATTCTAAAAAATTGCGTGCAGTTCCAAGAATTCAATTCATTAAATCGTGTGTAATATATTAGTTTAACAAGAACTAAATCTTTAGGGCAATACTTTGCTTCAAAACCAGCTGTTAATATTTTGATTGATCATTATATTCATATAATAAATATGCAAAAGCATTGCTACAAGTTTTTAACCAAATTTCAATTAGCTATGAAATAAAATTTTGTTCATGTATTAACGAATATTGTTGTGTAATATCTGTAGGTTTTCAATATTGTAACAGGGTATGTACTCTTTGGGAACCACATTTTTATATTTAACATCAGTTCTTAATTTAGATTTATTTAGATTTAATTTAATTATTATTCAAATCGTTTCAAAAAAGTAAGTAATGACGCAAATAATAGTACATATTTTTGCAAACAAAAACTGAACTTATTACCTTAACTATATATTTAACTTTAAAATGTTTGATTTTGTGGAAAATCACCGCAGAAAATCGAAAGTTTTAACTAAATATATACAAATTAAAAATCTACACAAACAAAGCTTATCAAATATATTTAAATATAAAAATTCAAGATAATCATTTAAAATAAAACAAAATTACTTTCAATTTCTAATAGTATCGCATTGTTACACACATATCAACATGTTGAGCAAAAATCTCATTAAAATTGCACGAACTTAAACAAATTTAAGTAATCAAGAATATAATTGTTTATAAATATCTTTCGAGCTTTGTAGATATAAATCAAGCCTAGAAAATTTAGTTATATTTGTAATTGCCTGTCTCGAAAATTTGTTAATCAATTTTTATCAAATTAGTATTCACAAAAGCCTCAGATTTTATAATCATTATTGCTTGATCATAATTATTTATATTGATAATTATATTTATACAACACAATTATATTTTTATAGTTTTAAAAAAATTGAAAATCATTGAACTAGACGCAAACAGTTTAATATTCGCTGATTTCATAAGAACAAACTTCATAGTAATAAACAAAAATGACATTGCCGAAAACACTTGATTTCAACAGTCAAGTACCTGATACCGCCGCGCAAGGTGTAACACGACATTGTCAAATGATGACGAATTTATTTGTAACTATTTACACGCCGGCAAATATATATATATATATATATATATATATATATATATATGTGTGTGGTTTTAGTGTTAATTTGAGTTAAAATCGGTTTTAATGGAATTAAAAATCAATGAGACTGGAAATAAATAAAGTTTTATAATTATAAATAGAATTCCATATTGTATATGTGTACCATACAGTGAGTTCTTATGTGCCGACATTTCAATCGACATGAAGTCACATTTTGTTATGTGGTAAGTGATATTTAGTTATGCATGCGTGCATCAAAACCATTTATGGCGTCGTGGTGAAATAAATTGTTTCATGTTTTTGAAGAAATTGTCAATACCACATTTTATAAATTACTTTACTTTACTTATTATTATTACTATTACTTATTATTATTTACTATTTTTTATTGTTTGTGTATTACATAATATTTGACAGCTATAATAGTTGTGATTTATGGTTATTCTTCTCTGCAGTAAAAATCAATTTTCTATATCTACCCATATCGAATTTATTACCTAATAATATTATTCGGAATTAATCACTAGTAAAGTCTCACATTTTGCATTGAAAAAAATTTATGCTTAGTTTAAAATAAATACTGAAATATAAACCTATGTACAAAAAATACAGTCAACCCTCCGACAGCACTCCGGTACTCGCAAAACGCGATTCCAATACTCCATAGATGAAATTTCGACAGCCCCTCGATAACGCATGCATCCTATAACATGGTCTTCGTTACTTGAGTAACTAGATATTGTAAAATTATGGGTCCAATGTTATGGCAAGGCTATCTTACCCAGTGTTTTTGATATGAAATCGTACTATAAACTGTCAAAATGTTATATATTTGCTGTGCGATCAGGCGCTTTACACATAAAATGTAACTTCACTGATCTGTTATAGTGCGCATCATAAAGATGAAGTTATGGTAAGATTGTAAGTTCGACGTATGTGCTTTTTTTAGGTTAGGTTTTCTATCTAAAAGGTTTGACTGCACGGCAACTATATAACATTTGACAGTGTTTAGTAACATTTTATATGAGGAACACTACGTAACATAGCCTTGCTATAACATTTTACGGAAGAAACGGCCCCTATGTTGATATACATATGCCAGGTTATATAGTATTGTGCAATATCGCATTTGGTAGTATAAGAGATCATTTACAGAAAGTTAGCCTATAAAAAAAAATTACTTGATTTTTTTTTGTTGGAAAACAGGTGTTTTATCATATCCGTATATGCTCTTTATTCAAAAAAAATTTTGTATATATTTTGGCTTTTTATCCTTATATGAACTTTTTCATTCAATAGAAACATATTATATTTTATCCTGTCTTATGGGTTTTCATATAACGCGATAAAAATGCTGTGATTTGTACTAATTCCGAATCTCTCATAGCACGATCCCCATACAACGCGGTAGCAAGTCTCCATAGAATGCACTACAAATTAGTCTGGATTGTACGTAACATCGGAGTTATTTATAGCACCGTTTCCATATTACGCATACACCGCCTTATCAGAGGGCGGGCACCGCCTTATAGGACTGTATATCAATTTACACCTACACGAGCTCTGGACTTATTGATAGAAATTATGTAACAGTATTATTGATGTCGTCACCTTTTGTTAACATTTTATTAGGCATATCTTTTAAAAATACAATTGTCGCAAGTCTCGAACTAGTTGTGACATTTTTAACATATACATTTGAATTTAGAGTAATTTAGAAAAAATATTTTTGCATCAATGCACAAAAAATTTTTACTTGATATAATATTTTAAATCGGTAATCTTAACACTTGGCATGCAGGCATACTTCGCCGCCGAATTATGCGTGCAGCGGACGATCCTTGAGCTGCATAAACTTGAAAATTGCAAATATATCCAGTGTCGCTTTCCGATAATATTTTCAGATAAGCTTTTCAGATAATATATATAGTACGAGTATACCATATTTTATAATTTTTCCAGCATTTTAGACTCTAAAACACAATCGTTTTTTCCAAAGAATTAAGCCCTCATCTAATAACACTTGCTGTGTTTGGGCTTGTAAATATTATTGAACTTTTCAACAAAATAATTTAGTATAGGCCTAACTTTGAATAAGCGATCAGAATCGTCTGTGACGTTTTCTTTGTTATTAAAATGCCAAGCATTCCACATTTGGCGGAATCTATTCTTTGGCATGGTTTTTGAAAAAACGGTGTACTTATGCAGAGATCAGTTGACCAATAATAGAAGACAGTCTTAGAACTACTCATTTAGAACTACTCGAAATTCTTCTTAGGACGAACACTCGAGAACGCGGAATAATATCATCATCGTCACTTTCTTCGATATCTTGACGAAAAGTCCGATAATCTGTCAGCGCATATTTCTTCACCACTATCTTCGTCACAACGGCTCAATTTATCAATTTGTAATCATTTATGCGTATTTAGTAGATTTGTAGTGGTTAGCGGGTATGCTGCATACGGACACGAAAAAAGTATCGATACTTTATGGTATCGAGTAGGTTTCTTTTCGATACCGATACTTTTGTACTCGATACTTTGTATTCGATACTTTGTATTTGATACTTTTACTTAACAAGTACTTTTGACAAATATCGTATCGAATAAATTACTTTTTTTTTATTTATTCCTTTTATAATTTATGGCAACATTAGCAACGCCATCTTGTTCAATCTTGCTGAAGCTTTCATTTATAGAGTTAGCGTGAACGCAGCGTGAAGTATGCAACTAACAGTTGCAAGTCTGAAATACTATTAGAAGATCAAATCTTGCAACCCCTTGCAAGAAGGGATGAAATTGGACTGCGAAAAATCTCTCTTTTCCTTCCGCCTTCACCGAGTAAACTTAACCTAGAAGAATTATCATTTTGTTATAAATTAAATATTTTGTGTTTTGTGTTGGAATTTGAATCATTGGAATATCCAAAGAATGGCGCCTACCAAGAGTGACGTTTGGCAGTATTTCGTCAAGATCAACAAAGACGAAGTGAAATGTAAGATATGTTTCAAAACCATAAAATCGTCAGGGAATACGTCGAATATGAATAAACATTTAAAGAAACACCCTAATTTTGATGCCTCAAGGTAATTTTTTTTAATGATTATATGCTCTTTATTTATATAACCTAAAATTTGTTTTGTAGTAATTTAATAGGCGCACGAGGCACGAAACTGATTATTTTATATATTCTTTTTAGTGTAAAAAGAGATAAAAAACAGACGACGATGTCGACAATTCAGAAAAAGTTAGAACTGTCGAATTTACCGAGTCGTGATCACGAACCCCAACCATCAACAAGTACATCGAAAGCATCTTTCTTTCACCATCTGATGTCGAGAGAATTCCAGTAGTAATCAGTGGTGATGGTGAGTTAGAAGAAACCGATGCACCACTTCCAAAAAAAAGGCAACTTTCAATCGTACAATCAATGGAACGAAAATATTCTTATGGATGGAGGAAAAGATTATTTGAAACTCTGCAAATGTTTGCTTTATTTTATTTGCGTTGATAAAAGACCGTTTGACATTGTGAAAGGGCGTGGGTTTAAAAAATTGATGCATCAAGCATGTTCATCATTTAAAATTACACAGGTAGATACCCTTAAAGCACAATTCGAACACTTTTATAGTGTAATACGTTTGAAAGTCGAAAATATATTTGATAATGTAGATCACGTGGCATTAACCTGCGATATTTGGAGTGAGATGATGACTGTTACCAGTTATTTAGGGGTTACTGCTCATTATTTGCAAGAAGACAAACTGGTGTCACGTTGCATAGCTACCGTTGCACTGGATCAGCGCCATACTGGTGATTTTATCGCTGAAAAATTAAAAGAAATTTGTGCAGGTATACACATCAGCAGTTTGGATAAAATAACTGCAGTAGTTACAGACAATCACTCGAACATGATAGCCGGCATAGCAAATATTCTAGAAAAGAACAAACATTTACCTTGCTTTGCTCATACAATTACTTTAATCGCTGAATCTCCCATGTCAGTCAATGATTTAGGAGCATTAGTAAGCAAGGTACGAGACGTTGTAAAATTTTTCAAGAGCAGTGTAATCCTCAGTGATTCTTTACGTCAAAAACAAACTGGGTCTCAACCTCTCAAACTGATTTTAGACGTGAAGACTCTTTGGAATTCAGTCTATTATATGCTACAGAGATATGTTGAATTAGCACCAATAGTTCATCAAATTTTGATGTTAAATACAAAAGCACCACCCACACCATCGGCTGTAGAAATGCAAAATATTAAAACATTGATGTGTATTTTGAAACCGCTGGAGTATGTAACCAAAGAGTTATCAGGTGAACAGTATGTAACGATTAGTAAAATAATTCCGATAGTGAACTGTTTGAAGACGCAGATCAATAATATACCTATGGCTGTAGGTGATGGTGATGGTCCCCATGGAAGGGTAATAGATATAATAAAAAAAGAAATCCTAAAACAGATAGAACGGCGATTCGGACATATTGAAGATAATTATTTGATTGCAATGTCATGTTTGCTAGATCCGATATACAAGAATATCCATTTTCAGGACGCTAATGCTTGTGCAAAGGCAATTTCTTTACTGAGAAGATATATAACAACGCCTCCTAGTGTTATCGGCAGCGATCATGACAGCGATTCCTCTCTTGAAACAACTTATGATTTTTGGAGTCACCACAAGAAATTAGCTCACACAAAAAAACGATGTGAAACCAGTTCTTCAACACAGTTTGAATATAAAGATGAAATAAGCCATTATTTATCTACACAGGTTTCGCCACTTTCTTTGAATCCTCTGAAACAATGGGAAGATTTAAAAGTTGTTTTCCCAAAATTATATAAATTGGCACGAGAATTTTTATCGATTCCTGCGACTTCAGTGCCCTCCGAAAGATTGTTTTCGAAAGCTGGAAGAACAATTACTAAAACCCGTAACCGCCTATCGCCAAAAAGGCTCGACAAACTTCTTTTCTTGAGCGATTGTACCGAGGAGGAATGGGATTTATAATATTTTAGATTAAATTTAGATTTTAGATTTACAATATTTTAGATTAAATTGTGGCTTTACTTACAGGTTGTTTTTATTTATCTTTATTATATGTACCATTTGTTATTTTTTAATTTTTTTTACTGTATGAATTTTGTTATTTTCAACATTTACGAATGTAATATATATCTAAATAATCAACATTTTAAATAAAATTATTCATTGCATTTTGTTTCGTTTAATACTCCACTAGTTTAAGTTTGATTCAAATCTACCTTTATTAATAATAACCTATATTCAAGAATTATCGCTTTTTGATAGGTAACGATGTTTGGGATGCATGAATATAACAAAACCATTAAAGATCATTATTACTTTCAACTTTTTTTCTCAAAAATACCACTAATGTTATAATTTGTTAGTTGCTATAAATATTCTATTATAACTATATAATATTACCATCATTTAATGATAAAGCTGTAGATTTACAGTTTTTCAATTTGAATCTACAGTTTTTTTTCTGGCCTATCTGCAGTTTTTCTCTATGGTGGACCTGGCAACACTGACGATACTTACTGTCTTACTGACTAACATTGACAAACTAACGTATGGCATACTTGTTTATCTATGGCGTACCGCGTAGGCCCTGCCTGAGAAAAGTACTCGATACTTTGAGGCATCGATACTTTTGTGTCGATACTTTTACGAGTACGATACTTTTTTATCGATACTACTCATGAGTACAGTATCGATACTTTCTATTGGATACCGTGTCCCTTACATACCGTACATACCGTGCATTCCATACCGTATGCACCACAAATCTACAAATACGTATTTTTACGTGACCCGCGCTTCAGTGACAGACAGCAAAAAACGTAAAATTACGTAGCCCGCACTCTGTGTTAATTGAAAATATGATCTTTTGGCCGAGATCTATATCGAACCCTGAACAATTTGACTAATCCGCATTTTTACCATAAAGCCACGACCGACATTATGCAATAAGTATTTTATGAATTATATAAAAGATATCAGTATAGATTTTTTTTCTAAATGTAGAAAAATACAAGATATTTTTGCATGTGGATTTGCTACTTCTGGTTTCAGGCTTAATACCAATCTCGTCCAGTTGGATATCAAGTAGATGTGATATCAGATTTTCTCTTAATTTTACAAATCTAAACCATGATTTATTCACCAGCATTGAGAATACGAAAAAACTTACTGTATATGAAAATACAATATCAAATCTAAGACTTATCTATTCTAAAATTTTTATATGGCTAATTGTTAAAGTTTATATTGACTTTTTTACCTGATTTTGTGTTGCAAAATTATTATTAATAACCCATCGATATATTCTTAATTTCTTATCATATCAAACAGTCCATATATTTTTCTGCACAACCTACGAATGACTTAGTAAGATATTCTAAATATAAATTATTAACTCTTTGGGGACGGCTGTCCACCTGAGTGGACAACGTACTCTGTTAGGCTATCGATGAGGCACAGGCTATTTTATAAACAATGACTCAGTTTGCACTGAAACGTTAAATAGATTATATATAGCAATGATAAACATTGTTATGTTTTGAAAATACTTATTAGTTTTTTTTTAAATTTTGATTAGGCCTCGCTTACTCTGAAAAATAAAAACAACAAAAACTAATGACACACCAAAATTTTGTAAAAAGTCTTTTAAAACAGTTGAAAGGTAATTTTCGAAAATTTCAAACATTTCTATCTAAATTGTTATCATACAATATAGTAACTAATCAGTTGCATATTCTAAATGCGAGATAAAGAAAAAAGGATGTTATTGTATTTTCTGGCAGAAAAGCACCAGGAAGAAGGCGACGAACAACATTTTATTATGAAACATGTCAAAGTCAACCCGCTATTCATTATGCAAATCTTTTTAAACGTAATCTTTCATTATAAAATGATCAAAAATAAATTGATACTATAAAAGAATGTCCTTCAATGATCACATATTTTTATCAAACAAATTGCATAACATACACAATGAAATCAAGTGTACAGCCGGTACAGTAGATTGTTTTGAAATCGGTGCCGTCCCGTAAGGGTTAACACTTGTACACTCAGGTGGACAGCTGTCTCCAAAGAGTTAATATATGTTAAAATTAACTGGTGAGCAATGCTTCATCAGTTTTGTCAGTTTGTTATTAAATAACACAGCCGCAAAAATTTAAAGACTGATTTTGTAAACTGAAACCAATTAAAATCACGGATAAGCGTACTAAAATCGTTGTATTTAATAAAAAAATACCGCTTGATCCATCTTGTCGACAACTTAAATTTCATCTAATTCCATTAGCTCTAACTATGATCACAATCAATTACGTTGCCGATTCGGAGCGGAACTTTTCCCGGGGCCGGTCGTTCTAATTAAAACTCACGCGCGAATTTTCTTCCATTCCGGAGGAGCACACGACAGCGAGAGGGAACGAAACTTCTTTGCAACTGGAAAGTTTCGCATCTGCTGTTCCGATACACAACTACCTATTTATCAGCACTTACCTGAACAAAAGTTTCCTGCAAGAGTAAAAAGCCGACATGTTACGGCAGCGTTTGTGTTTCTGATTAACTTTACGTTCTTACGAATGATATCAGATATGGCTTTCATCAAACTTTCAGATCAAGAACGAACATTCTGTTAGTTTCTGATGAAGTGCTGATTTGATCGACTGATATATCGATGTAGGAATAAATTAATTCTCTTATTCAATTACTCAACTTATAAAAGTATGTAATCAGAATTGCATGAAACCATTATTTATTAGTAATATTTAAAATTACAATTTCATTGCATTACGTTGCATTTACAATAAATTTCGATTCGCACAAAATCTATCAACGCCATTTTTTACAAAAAACGATTAAAAACTGTGAAAATGTGATCATTTAACACATTTGTAAAACATTATGAAAAATCATTTTTATTTCGAAATTTCTATCAAGATTTCTGCGTAAAAAATTTCTGCGTAAATTACAATTACATTTGCGCGTTGGTAAATTAATAAAAATTTGTTGCATTAATTTTGATAGCATTTATTTACTAATTAACTTGATTAATCAATAAATTATCAAACTCCATTATTTGATTGTGAGCAGTATGTGCCAATTGATTGCATTGAATTTCTATATTCTAATAATAATAATAACTCATTATTATATCAGCTCTAGTGCAAAATACTTGAAAAAATATTAGAAAAAAAAAATAACGTCTTATATAAATTACAAATAATTAGAAATCAAACGCCATGTCTAATTATCCAATTTTTTCAAAACTCATTTTATGTCTGTCAATCAGAAATCATAATACAATATATTATTAATAACCCTTTCGCTATGGTAGTGTTTTCTACATGAGTGTCGCTGCTGTACGGAACAGCGTATCTGTTAGTAGTGCCATTAATTTTTTTTTTTTTTTTTTTTTTTTTTTTAAACTTTATTACTAATTATTTTTTCTTTTTATCTTACATACTACATATATTTTACTTTTTCTTTACATATTTTTACTGTTTATTACATTTTTCTTTACTAATACTACTTCCAAAGGCAGGTCCGTGGGTTGAGTTGAAAATGCACTCAATCATGGTTGCACGATGTCAGAGCCTTTACATTTTTCTGTTGTATAGGGATACAAATCGACTTCCTTTTTGTATTTCAAAGCGATACAATCTTAGTACCTCTTTACTTCCAAGTGGCATGTTGCCGCTACAGCTATGCCCACGAAAGGCCATTTTCACTTGAAAACATATTTGAAATCTATGATTTCAAGTGAAAATTTGGTATCAAGCTGCTTTGATACCGAACCGACCGAGGTTGGATTCGAAACTGGGACTAGGATTTGCTAGCCCACGTTCTTACCACGGGACCACGGCCGGCCCAAATCGGAGCAGGTACAACAATGTATTTTCGATATTTCTATCATTGTCAATAGCAATGCGTTAGAAAATAAAAATTGCGCTTCTAATAAACTAAAAATTACAATACAAATTAGAATTACTAATTGTTTAACTCATAGTGAATCTTGAAGTAAAGTCCGACACGCTGCATGTCGTCCATGAACGGCATCCGTACACGTCAGGCGGATGCCGTTCATGGACACTTGTATACACAGGTTGTACAGTGAATGTCGCCCATAATATAAAATGAAATATAATTACAAATTTCTTTATGAAATAGAATATAATATATAATATAATCATAGTTAATCATGGGTTATTCACAATTCGATTTAATTTAAAATCACTCACACGAGTTCTAGTTTTAATAAGGCCATTTTTCTTCCATAATGTTTCTACACAAAAAGTGAATTCTAGAATATTGTCAAAGGACATAATGTTATGGATCACAATGCATATAAATGCAAGTGCCTTTATTCATAAACTTAGTATATTTACTGGCATAATTTATTTACTAAAGTTGTTTAGCTTATAGTTTAATTCTGTTTATAAAACAGAAACCCTTAACTTAACACATCATCATCGGGTACAACGCCATGCACCACAAGCGATTACAGGCGTTGGTAGTAATATTAAACTGACACATATTTTCCCATAATTATTTTCAAATTCTTAAAATGCTGCCCAAGTTAAAGCTGGAATTAACAGCAATACGTAATAATGCCGAGAAAGAGCGTGGTAATAAATTTCGAACCCTTGCTGTGTTTATCCAACTGAGCCCTAAAATGCCTAAAATTATTTCAAGGTGTTGTAGAGTGTAGTATTAAATGTACAATATTCGGAACGGCAACCGAAGAACCGAGCACGACGCTCCCGCCTGTAAAGTGTGCAGTATATTTATTTCGCGAGATATAAATCAAACAGAAACAGGTTTACAAAACATATTTTCACGACGGAGAAAATCCACGATGTGATCCACGTACTGCAGGGATGGCAAACCAGCAGGCAAACCAGCAGCGAAATAACTTCTTGAATTAGTGGTACATGCCATTGAGGTTTGAGCCAAATTGCAGGAATTTTTCG